GGGGTGCCGGGGCGTGGTCACCGCCTCACTCCCCAGCCCACACGTCTTAGGCGGCCAGGATCTCGCACAGGCGATGACGACTGCGTTTGTCGGTGCAGCCTACTGCGTGCACCAGCTGCGGGGCCAGGCCACCTCGGTTCCTGTCCTGGCCCCGTCTCATATCAGTGTGTGGCCTTGACCTGCCCTTGCCTCGGTTTCCCCATTTATGAAATGAAGAGAACACTCGCCTGACGGGGCTGTGAGGGTTACACGAGACGTGAGGATGGTTAAAACTGTGGTGCAGTGTATCATTCATTCAGTGTATCAAATCCACAGTGTAGATTTCACTCAGTGAGTGACAGTCCTCCTCCTCCTCTTGCCTCCTCTCCTCCTCCCCATCTTCTAATTAGTATCATTCATTTAAATTGCCGTGCATCCTCACCGAACATGATCCAGGTACTTTTGTGATTTCTTCCTCTTCTATTAAGGCCCTGGTCACAGCCAGGCCCTGGGCTAAACCACCAGATCCCTCTGTAGGAAAAAGCAAAACACAAAGAATCTAGAAACCAGGCTAACCTCTGACATAACTCACGGTGTGGCTTCTCTCTGCCAACTCGTTTGTCAGTTAAATGGGGATAACAACCTTCCCCTCTTCCTGGGAGCCTCGTGAGGGTAAAATAAAAACACAGACCTGGAGCGTTTGCCGTTTCAGAGTGCTGTGTAAAAAGTAAGGGGCTTCTAGTGTTCATTGATTTCTATATAAAGTTTTATCTCTCTTTGGCATGCCCGCCTTCCGTTTGCCCAGCCAAGCTGCTGCACCCAGCTCCCGGCTCTGTGGCTGGCTTATGCGCGAGTGTATTTGCCTACTTCTTGCTTCTCCCTGTTTCTTCTCCCAGATAAGCCATGACTTAGGCTTCCTGCTGCTTCCAATCACCGAGAAACTCCCCCTCTTGCTTCTCCCCGGCACCCCGCCTGGAGCACTGACCTGTCAGCTAGATCAGAGAGGTGCCCTCGAGAGGGACGCCTGCGAGCTCTCCCCCGCTCCTGGTTTGCACCCAGCCCACTTTCTAAAGGCTGTGGGGTACCACGCACAGGCAGCTTAGAAGGCCAGGGCCCTAAGGCTCCCTAAGACAACGAACAGGGCAGTGGTGAAGCCGGTTGTCAGGTCTTCCTCGCACACCTTGCATGCTCCACAGTGTCTCAGTGGCTCCGGGCCTGAGTCCTGTACTGTAGCTGCTTCTTGACCACTGTTTGCCCCTGCTGTGAGCCAGAGCTCTACACGCTAAGCCCTCGGCACTCCTCTCTGTCCACATGGGATATGGGCGGCAGACGGTGGTGCAGGGGGTGGGAGGAGGGTAGGGAGATTAAGAGGAAGAGGAGAGGAGGGGAGGTTGCAGGAGTCACTGGTGTTCACCTTGACAGCAAACCCAAGGCAGACAGCCATTTCCCAGAATCTACAAGCAACCCTCCCCTTGAACTCTCACCAAGTAGACCGTTTATTCCCCTTTGCAAGAGGCTGCTGAATACAGTGTGGGTCGGCGAGGAAGGAAGGTGAGGGGTGTCTCCTTTTCTGCACCCAGCTTCCTGATGGAAAGGGATGAGAGAGGACACTGTCCCCCCGCCTCCATTTACAAGGCAGCCACTACCCAAACAAAACATACTCCTTCTTCTCTCCTCTAAACCAAACAGTAGTTTGTCAAATGGAAGAGTAAGAAGGAAAGTGACAATTTTCCTTTATGTTAATAAATTGCTTTGGCCTAAAAAACATTAATCAATTTCTTTCCTAAGTGCACACACTTCTCTATACCCTGCTTCTTGCCTGGCCTTGAAAAGAACGTCACATTCAATCCCCTTTCTCTTGTCCAGATCAGTGAGGGCAGTTACAAGAGGAGTGGGGGGAGATCATAATGGAGCCCTGTGGTGTTTCCATAGAAACGTAGAATGTATTCTTCCCTGAATGTACAGGGAGGGGAGGGGTGAAGAGTGATGTTGCTGGCAAGGTATACAGTTACTGAAGAACTTAAGGTATGAGTGCGGAGGTGAGACATTCAGCCCCTAAGACGGGAAGACAAAAGACTTAGTGAAGAGGGCAGTGGGCGGAGACCTAGTCCCGCGTGAGGACTTTTGACCTACCCTTGTGTCCCATCTGCGCAACTACCCGGTGAGAGAGCTTTGTAGCCCCCATTCTCAGCTGAGTCTCAGAAGGAGAAGCAAGCCAGCCAGTGAGAGGCACACCCTCAGTCCACGCCCAGGACTGTCCCACGCAGAGCCCTTGCTCTGTCCGCTCTCTGTACTGGGCTGCGCTTGAGATCGTGACGATGAGACGGTTTCATGCTGTCTCCCGGCTCCTCTCAAGTTCTGCCAGTGCTGTCCACTCTGGGTTCCCCCAAAGCACTGCTTTTCCCAACTGGCGTTAGGACACTGCTGTTGAGTCCTGACACACTCGGGTGGTTTGTTGTTGTCGCTTGTTTATTTGAATTATGAAGTCAGAGGAAAGTCATACATAAGGAGGAAAAGGAAGCTGGGTTTTGTGTAGGTTAATTTTTTAGGTGTAAGGATGAGGAGCTGGAAAGTGGAGTAGTTGAGATCGATACAAAGCATATTTTAAAGCAATTGTTAGTTGAATCTGCCCCACACACTGGGCAGTAAGAGCTGCAAGGGCAGGACGCATGTCTGTCTGTCTTACTATGGCGTCCCACAACTGAGCACGACGTCAGGCCACACACTGGCTGGCTGGGTGGGTGATGGATGGATGGATGGACAGATGGATAGATTGATGGATGATGGATAGATAGATGGATGAATGGATGGATGGATGGACAGACGGATGGATGGAGGACAGATGGAATGTCTTATAACAGACAACGGCATAGGAAATTCCTAGAATGAGCATGAGGTCCCCACTTCCTTTGGCTCCATCTGGCGGCCCAGGCCGAAGGTTACTGACCTGGCAAATCCTGGGCCTGGGCTACAAAGGTCTCAAATATCTCTTGGCGTTGGCTGGCATTTACCGAGGACACAGAGCCGCTGCATCGGCAGCACAGGGTAATGACGTCTGCCTGTCTGCCTCACGCTCCTCCCCCAGCACCTAGCCCAAGGCCTGGCACGTGGGAAACAGTCAACAAATGATTGTTGAATGACTGGCTGAATACTCGGTGCCCAGCTCTGAGCCGAGTGTTGGCATGCGCGCTGCGTCACTTAAACGCGCTGAGAACCCTGTGAGTAGGCAACGTGCTCATTTTACAGATGAGGACACCGTGGCCTGAAAATGAAAGCTGACTTCCCCAAGATCTCACAGCTGATCAGTTGTGGAGCTCGGCTTTGAAAACCACGGCCTGTGTTTCATCCACTATATAGGTCACCCAGCTAGGAACATGTCCCTGTAGAGGGGACCAGGGAGGGACAGGAAGTAAAAGGACATAAGCCGAGAGCAAAATAGTCAGACATTCCTCCCTGTCGCTCCTGAGCACCGACGCCACCTCCGTCTGTTTAGCTGCTTCTATCAGTGAAGGCCCAGTGCCAAGCCAGCGTCTGGGGCCTCCGTTAGCTGTGCAGCAATCACAGTTTGCCTTTTCAGCGGCACTTAGTCCGACCCTGGGTCTCTGCGAAGTGACACAGGAACAGTAGACAAAGACAACTGTCCCTGTAATGACAGCTCCTTTCAGCCCTTGCTGGGTAGAAAGGCTGTGGCCAGTCATGCCGCATCACCAACCAGCGGGGGGTCTTCCATCTTGCACATGAAACGCTTCGTCTCTTCCTCGCTACACGAGGAGCAGGCACTGCTTTCACGGCTGCGTTTCTCCCACATGCCCATGCCGGCTCCTCACCCTTGACCTTCTGACAGCTCTGGTGGGAACCCAGGGAACACACAGCTGAAACCTGCAGTCTTCCTCCAGGCATCCTGCACAGGAGTGCCTCCCAGGGTAAACGTCCCAGGGAGGGAGTGGGCAGCTGAGGGCAGAGGGAGCCCGTGCACAGCCTGCAGGGGTCGTTTGTCCCGGCTCTGCTGGCTCTGGGGGGCAGAGCCAGCAGAAGGGGGCGGGCTGACAGTCCCCGAGGAGGACCGCCAGCCTGATTCCCCAGCCCTCAGCGATCAGGGGCTCGTGGGCACCCACTGCTCAGGCCAGAGCCCCTGCCCTGCGTGGCCCCAATCTCTGAAATCTGGGAACCCCGGTCCCTGACATCAAGTCCTGTATACCTCACAGACCAGTGTACAGACCACACAATGGAGTCTGTGCACGAACGACTCCAAAACACAGATGAAACGGCAAAAAGGTTAGGAAGTGCCCATCACAGGAGTGTGTAAATATGTCTGTATTGAGGACTACCAGCATATGTAAAGCAATCCAAGACACATTAATTTGAGAAGCAAGACAAAGGCAAGGCACATGTATTAGTAGTAATAATGTTTATGATAATAACAGCAGCCATGGAAGCTAACTAACACAGATGGAGTGCTTCTTCCACCCCAGGCCCTGCTGTAAGTACTTCCTTTATAGTCTCTCACTGTACACACACACACACACACACACACACACACACACACTAATTCCAAAGAAAGCCTTTGAGATACGTGCTATTAGGTTGTCCATTTTATTGATGAGGAAACTGAGGCGTCAGTTTTATTATCTATTCCTCACTATTATTTACATCTTTTGTAAAGGGGTGGTTTTCGTGCATGACGTGTAAAAAGAATTAAGAATTAGAGCACTGAACAATGAGGGAAAGACTGGAGTGACGTGTACGGAGCCCAGCTATGGGTCTGCCACAACACACGCCTCACTGGGACATCAGAGCATCCCCGGCAGGAAGGCATCGCAGGCGCCGATTCGATCAATGGGGACCCGAAGGTCCAGAGAGGTAGCACAATTTTTCTGAGGTCACACAGCCAGCAGGTTACTTAAGCATTTGGGACCAGGTGCCAAAGCCCATGCTCTTCTGTATCAGCTGGGCCCTTGGTGATGCTAAATCAGTGTGTGCTGGTTGGGATTTACTTTCCTTCCTTTCTCCGTGTTTTTCAGTGTGGAATATGATTTTCGGCAGCAGGAAGGCAGGTTCCATGAAGTTCTACAGAGCCTGGAGGAAGCGGAACCCGCTGAGGAGCCCTCTCCCCCACCAAAGTCCCCAGCAGAGCCCCCTGTCCCTGAGAAACAGGATTTAAGGCGGAAAACCAAGAAGGTGAAGAAGAAATGCTTCTGGTGGATCTGAGCCTGTCGGGACCATGCCTTGTGCCCTCCCCAAGCACCCCCCTGAGGTGGGGAGGCCGCCGCCCTCGGCCCTTCTCCACTGCTTAGCAAAGGCCCCAGGCTGTGAGCCACTCAACCTGCGAAACGGGAAGGACCCAGGGCTGGCTCGGCCGCTGCTGGACCCCTGCCCACCAACCTCACCTGAGTGAGCGCCACTGCTTGCTGAGGACTTCACGGACCCTAGAGTGACCACTTGCCTAGCTCCCCATCACCAGTCCACCAGGCCACGTCCTGGTGTGCGCAGTCTGGGTTCCCACCATGAGCAAAGCCCACGTATCGACTTTCCAACGCCTCCGTGATGCAAAGCACCTCCTTCTCGTCCTTGGTCCATCATCCCGAAAGAAGAAAAAGAGATGCTGTGCGGGGCGGGAAGGTAGAGGGGCTCTGTGAACAGAGACCCCGGAAGAGATCAGATACATGCATCGGCAGCTTTCGGAGAAAACGGGGTACAGGAGCACCGCAGAAATGGGGAGGGCATAAACATGCAAGATTGCCTGATGGGCGGGGTCATTTTCACTTTAAATTAGGCCTTTGATCTCAAGCCAAGGACCTGTCATCTCACGCTGTGTGGCCTTCCAGCCTGTGGCAGAGCCGGGTCGCGGCAGGGGGTAAGGAACTAGGAGTGGCCGTGCTGTGGGTGCAGCCCCGGGGCCCACCTTGGACCCCCGTGCTTCTCAGCCCGGGGCCCGAGGCTGCCTGGCCAATGAGCCAGGTCCGGTTTGGGTTTGAATGATAAGATTCCAGGGTTAATTTTTTTTTCTTGAATTTATCGAGGTGACACTTCCACAGTTAATTTGCCCGCAGCCTTTAAGATCATGAGATCCAGCGGCCTGTCTGTTTTATCTCGCCAGTAACATAAATAAGACTGAGATCAAACACAACACAGGTTATCATTCGTTCATCCCCACGGTCCCTTTGTAGATAGGCTCAAAGGTGTATTAATCTACATAATCCCCCTCCCCGGTGGCCAGGCAACGGCCACATGATTGAAGAAGCAGCAGGACTAGGGATGAGGATATATATATATATTCCCATGTTCGTATAAAAGACCTTTCCTTCCCAAAGTCTAAATGTCGGGCTCATTCTTCCGACATGACCCCTATACGTGTGGGCCCAGTCAAACTTGCATGGCTGAACAATGAACATAACATAATTCAGTAATCGCTACATACGCTTGGGGATGAGGGATGGGTTGGCAAGGCTCTTGGTCCACGTGCAACTGCCTACCAGCCCGTGGTTGGATCGATTCCGCTGAGAAAAGGGATCCCACAGCTCAGCACGGCATTCAGAGAGGAAGGCCTTCGTTCCCCCCTTAGCTCCAGATCCCCAACCTGAGTCAGAGTCCGCAGAGCACAGCGTCCTGCGTGCGCGTGGGGTGAACGTGCCCCACCGCACACGGAGAGGGAGGGAGCAACCCCTCCGACAGTTGCACCTGCCCTGCCACACTGCTGCAGTGCAGAAGCTATTTCGGTGAGAGCGAGAGGGGAATTTGGCAAGGGATCTCAGCTTGCACTATTTAAGTCTTGGAATGTCATTCAAGATGTTCTTGTTCTGTTTCTAGTGAGATGTTTAAACCCACAAAACGAGACCGGCATCCATAATGTTCCGTTGGAATTAAGATAAATACACTTGTCATACTTAGGAAGCCACATTTCATAGGATATGCTGCCACTGGCTAAAAGCCACGCACCTTTCTGTATCCACACAATCCACTCCCAGTTGGCCCCAACAATGGAAAAGAACAGCGCGGAGGATAATCCAATAAAGCAAAATCATGTGGGATCTCTTATGTAATTGTATCTTGTAGTAGAGCTTCCATCTTAATTTGCTTTGCTTACACTAATTTTCAAATGAATTTATATTCCTGGGCAGCATGCTAGAATGAAAATGATCCTGTCCTGGGAATTAAGAGACCCAGGCAACAGAAGAGCCTAGTCCACTACTGTCCTCGGACAAAGCGTTCCAATGTCCAGGGCCGTTTGTCCATTCCCGAGGGGAGCTATAAACACCTACTCCGCCTGCTTCGTCTGCTCTGTGCATGGTCCGACCTCGCCTGAGCAGCAGGACCCAGGGCGGGGCTGGGTCGTTTGCCAAAGTCGGCCCGGGATAATGAAGAGGCACCTGAGGTCACTGTCACAAAAAGCAGAACCCGACCCCTGGGTAATTAAAAAGCGCATGTTTTTATACCCTTATGTGGAGTTGGGGGCCATGGATACACCCTCCAGTGGAAAGCAGAATTGGGTAGAAAATGTCGTCACTTCCAGACATTCGACCAAATGAGACTGTAATAATGATTCTATACCAAAGCACAACGCGACACCGCTCGGGCCGCCAGCCTGAAGCAGGGAAGGAGGGCTCTCCTGGAAATCGAGCATTCACCATCGTTACAAGGGAAAAGGGACTCAGTAAGCACCTTCCTGCTAACACAAATGATCATCTCTGTTCAACACAATAAACTAAAAACCATACCTATCCACCTACCAAAACTCTCGACCCATCTACTCATGTGAAAATTGCTTCTTTGTAAAATATTAGGTAACATCGACCGTGATAATCTATTACAACGCTGTACTTGAGGTTATATGGTTTTATGGAGAGAGATTAATTTAGCAAAAATTACTTTTGTAAAATGGAAAGGAAAAAAAGACTGATACATCACCTTACGTTGCAGGAGTTTGTGTAGCTGCTTTCTCTGTAGTTAAGGAAGTTGTGTACTCACTATTCCTGGAACCTCAGACCAGCTCATCTGTAGAGGACCTTCTTAAAAACTATGTAAAATGTAAGGTTTTGTAAATTTCTAAACTGTTTTAAATGGGATATTATCTTTTGCAATAAACGTACATATTTTTCCTAGGTTCTAAGTCTGCATTTCTAGCTCGGGTTGACTGGGGTTATAAAATTCACACTTGAGAAGGCCACCTCAATGGTCTTAAGGACAGGGACAGTTTTCATTCTAGTCTCTTCTGTATGTTTCCCAGGAAAACAAAGAAAGAGCAGATTCCGAACTTCCCGGGAAAAGCATGACGGCCTTCACCGCTGCCCACGCCGCACGGAGTGCCCTCTCCCACATTTGCCGGGTGCCAGGGTCCCCTCCATCAAAGTCACTGGCACAGTTGTCCTTGCACCTATATCTGTGTCACCCTCCGGTGAATGTATTTCTCTCTTATTAGCCCATACCCTTCCTAAGGTAGGAATCCTGCTTCTTTTTGCTCCCCCTTGAATCCCCAGCACCTGCACAATGGGATTCAACGGTTTGTTGCAGGAATGAGTTAATGAATGGATTGGGTCCAGCGGAGAGACACGAAGAAATGACTCCCAGAGCATTTCCTCCTGGATCAGCGCTCACGTGAGGTTGGGCCTGGGCCCCTTCTGTGTTCCCAGGAGAATCCAGCCTCCCATGGATTCCGGAGCAGCTCCCGTGCCCAGGGCTTCTGTTTCCACGTTGGTCCGCGTGGGGTTCAGGGCCCAGGGACACCAAGCCGCTACTACCCTCTCCCACTGCCAAGCCCCTGACACCTTTATCCAGAACACTGACAGCCCAGTTAACCTTGCTTCAGGACAAATAGCCGCCATAATTAAATCCTAATGCGTTTTGCACATTTTACCAAGCTACTGCCTTACCGTATGAAGGGGAAAATTGGTTTTGAAATTAAAGCAGATTGTTAACTATTTTTGCTGTAACGTTTCCATTAAAACGCCAGAATTTATTACATGTGACCTAGTCCATTTCAGACAAAATGCAATTTAAAGGAGATAGGGTCTGCTTAACTGAAGAAGCATTTTAGGCAGAACATTTTGCCTTGGCTTAAACCACAACTGAAATGAAAAGACAATAAACATTACACCAAAGGATTATTTGCTCCAAAGCAAATAAAAGCTTTATTATTATGAATGCCTTTCACAAATTCTCAGAATCTATGGCTCTCTCACATTAAATTTCACTCAAATGAAACCCGTATTTTTTTACCTGGCACAAGTTCAACAGATATATTGCCTATCATCAGCTGACACAGTGACCCCGTGTGGGCGCGTGGGCTGGTTGCCCAGGTAGCACACAAGATGCTGTGATACCCTAGAGATGCAGACAAAAAAGCCTTCTTCCTCGGAGCCAAATGGACTGAGTCGGTGCATTTTTATTTTACAGATTTTACTTATTTATTTTTAGAGAGAGGGGAAGAGAGAAAGAGAGGGAGAAAAACATCAGTCATTTGCCTCTGTGACGTGCCCCGTCTGGGGACCTGCGACCCAGGCATGTGCCCTGACCAGGGATCGAACCGGTGACCTTTGCTCTGTGGGGCAATGCCCAGCCCACCGAGCCACACCAGTCAGGGTGACTGAGTCACTTTGACTGTTGAAACCAAGAGTGGTTCCCACAGCGCTTCCACCCAGCACACCAAGCCTGACTGTGCCGCATCCCACGTGCTCAAACCCTGTGTGGGCGACGGGGGAGAAGTTATGGGCTGTTGTCATTGTTTTTTGTTTGCTCGTTTGTTTCAAGACTTAATAAGAAAGAAACAATATGCCTTCTCTAGCTAGGGTTCAAAGAGGGCAAACCCAAAGCCGTGGGAAGCATCAACATTCACAGACTCAGCCCACTGACCTGCCGGGATTTCCCGAAATGGCTCCCTCCCTCCCTCGTCTCCACTCCACGCGGCCGCCAGCTCCAGGCAAACCTCTTAGATGAGCCTCAGTCCACACTCCACAGTCACGGACCCCCGTCTCTGGGCCAGGCCAGAGAACTGCAGCCGCGCCCTTGCTCCCTGAGGCCCCCTGTGGGTGGGGGTCTGAGAATGAGCACTAGAGTCCTCTCCTGGTCCGCCCACTGGATACCACGCCCCCTCCTTGGCTGACCCTCTCAGCGCTGTCCTTGTAATTCTCTCGTGACGATTACTGGTCTTCAAGCGTGGCTGTGTCCAGTTCTCTCCCCCTTCTCCGCTATACATTGTGTCCTGAGAACAGGAACTTCTTCCCTCCCCTTGTGAAGTGTGAAGTCCACGAGGTCTTCGACGGAAACGAAGTACTCCGCCATGAGCCCTTGTGCGTTCCACGCAGCCCACGGCACGGGCCTCCTTTCCCTTGAGTTTCCCGGATCCCGTGGATCCAGCGTCCTCCCAGCTGCCTTCGGACCGCTCTTAGACACACGGCGGGCCACCCCGCTCCCTGGCTTTCAAAGCATTTCATCTCCAACCGCACCCCGCCACCATCCTACAGCATGAAAGCCCTCCCCCAGCCAACAAGGCTGTCTGCATCGGACCCCCAGCCAGTAGGCTCCGTCTGACTGCTGCTGCGCCACTGTCTCCTGGGCCCGTCCCCTCGCACTTTCCCAAGTGTCCGAGGCTACTACATATCAGGGACTTAGCGCACGCGGCCCCCTCACCCGGGACCCTGTCCCATGACCTATCTGCCACAGGAAGCCATTTTCATTTTGACGGAATACATGAAGAGTAGCTATATCAGCGTGAATTGTGATTTTTTTAAAGCTCTAGTTTCTTGAATTTCAGTGGGCTATTACCAAATGATTTGCTTCCCTTATCTTATTTACTCCTAAAAAATTATCGTGAGGTTGCTTATGGTTACACCCATTTTCCAGAGGAATAACTGAGGCTCGGAGGGAGATAAGGAACCTGTCCGAGCCCACAAGTGCGAGGTGGTGACGGCTGAAGCTCTCTCGAGGTCTGCCACATTTGCAAGCTTGGGCTCTTAACGCCTGTGCCAGACAGCAAGTTGCAATTTAAATGTCACCTCCTCTCTGTAACTTTTTCTGATCATCCCCACCCCTGCCGTGGGATTAGTCACTCCGTCCTCCGAGGGCTCACAGCGCTTTTGCAGGCTGCTGCTCACGTGGCCTTGACATTTCTCCTTTCGGTCTCCACCAGGGAGCACGGACCTGGGCGACAGGAACTGTCGCCTACATCTCCGGTCCGGGACCCTCCAAGTGTTCCTCACATTGCCCGAGGTGCTGTCAGTGCTTCCTACAGGTTTGTCGGGTGAACTGGGAGGAGACACAGAGATCAAACGTCCCAGGGAGGGAGACAGACCAGACCGAGCCCAGCTGTCCTCACTCCTGCCCCGGGTTTTCCGCACGACTCCCAGCACGCACCTTCTCCTCCCTCCTCCACCTCTGCCTTCAAAGTGCAGCCATCTGGCTTGCACAGGCTGGTTAAAAGAAAAGTGAAATTATATACATGAAAATGCTTGACTATCTCATTAACTCCTATTTTTTTTTAAAAAAAATAGTGTTTGAGGTTTTTTTCCTTGATTATAAAAGGAAAGCAAAATAATTTTAGAAAAAGTGAAACTATAGAAATGTACAAATCACGTGTCCTTAAAGCAGAAGGTGCCGGCATAATTTTAGCTTCGGAGCACGGCCCCTGGGCCTGACTGCCGGGCGCTCCGGGGCCCCTGGTGAGGCATCACACTTCTCCCCTCCCCTCCCCTCCCCTTCGGGGTCCCCGGGGACTTCCCTGCTATCGTTGCTGCATTCCCGTAATCCGCTCTTTATATTTAAGTCATAGAATTTCCTCGTGTTTTTCAAAAATAATCATAAATAGTTCATGGCTGCACAAAGCCTTCTGTGTATGAAAGCGGCATTCATCCAGAAAAATGGGTTCTGGTTTTGAAGGGTCTTTTGACAGAATCGATTCCTTTGAGTCACTTAAGAAGGCCAGTGCCCCAGGCAAGGACAACAGGGGCGGGAGACGTGTGGCGAAGCCTGCTCCTTTGCAGTTGTCCCCCCAACGGGGGGTTTCTCCGTGGGCAGCTCCAGCCCCTCAGTGGCATTCCAGGGAGGAACACGGTCGTGGGTTCCCTCCCGGCTTCCCTGTCTGGGATTCCGGTCTCTGTGGCAGATATATGGGGGCTGACTTCCTCTCAAGGGGGGCTTTATTCACAGCCCAGCTGCAGCCACAGCTCAGTAATACTTCACAAATTCAGGAGTGATCCCAAATCGAGGCCACAAAATAGCTGGCGATCCGATTCCCAGCACTTGCACCAAAGCTGGGAGAGGGCTTGAGCGCGGACGGAGAACCGTACCGGCTCTTCCTGGCCGAGGGCCTGCTGTGCGTGCAGCCCTGCGGTGTGGGCTTCACACCGCGCTGTGGGTCGGTCCTCACCAGGGGTGGAAGGCAGTAGCCATGAGCCCCACTGTGCAGACAAGGGGACTGAGGGGCAGGGCTGTGGACATCTTTCCTAGCTGTGAAACGAGGCCCCTTCACTCCTTTCGAGAAAAGGAGGACCAAGATCCCAGGCAGCAAAGCCCTGCAAACTCCATTCCCTGCACCCCACCTCCACAGCCCTCAGAAAGCGATGCTGGGCATGAGAGTGCTGAGTCAACGCCCGGATGGCAAACAGTCCACAGTTCTAAAGCGTCTGAAGTTCTCCAAAGACGAGAAATGGCCAGCCTTCAGTGCCAGGACACAGGACGGGAGACGCAGTGCAGCGTTACCTTTAAAAACACACGAGCGCACTTAAAATGACCTGCTCGGAGTCAGATCCGCCAACAGAAGCCGCAAGGCACCGAGACGTTCGGAGGTAATTTCATTTGCACGACGACACACCGGCCCTGCGTTTCCTAGTGCTCACTGTTCAGTTCCCACACTCGGTCTCCGCCTCTCCCTCTCTGGGGGCTGGCAGCAGGAGCCGCTGGGCGGCTCTCGGAAGCTCCAGCTTCCCCAGGGCCTGAGGTCATGTCCTCTGCAGAAGCTCAGGCGTGCGCCACTGGGCCTCATGTGACGCCGTCCGGGCAGCAGCAGCCTCGGAAGGTTTGCTATCTCAGAGCACCCTCTGCTCAGAGCCAAGGCCTGCTCCGTCGGGCGGACCAGGGAGAATGCAGACGCTGTTTGAACAGGAACCGGT